TAAGGATTCCGATAAGAAAATCTTGTTCAGATAAGCACTAAGAATTTACACAATATTTCCGATTAGCATGGAAGATCTGCATACAGGGGGGATATAAAACGTCACTGAATTTTCGTCAAGAAAAAATATGAAAAAGGTGTTTTCTAACATGCACATATTTGTTATAAACAATACTGAACGTTTCACCTTCTTCAAGGTTTATGATATTTATTTACAAATTATATTTTTTTCATCGCAATTCCGGAAATTTTTTAAATCATACTTGAAATTGGCAACAGCAAACATTATTTTTGGGTCACTTAACAATTAACATTTTGGTCTTAAGGATACAGTGTAATAATTACTAAAATTGGGGCTGTGTACCATTGGTGAAGCCTGGTGCCCTTTCTAAATTAATGTCGATAAAATTTAAATGGTTTCTACATCAAAATGTGATGAATCCTATTATCATTGTATAGATTGAACGATCGATTCGAAACAAACATATTTTGAATATATATTCTCAAATTTAGATTGTTTAAAGGTCTCCTGGGTGTTCCGGGGAATACTCCCCTTCATCCCTCCCTCCCTCATTCCACTCCCCCTCTTTTCCTCCCTCCCTCGCATCCAAACACAAAACTTCATTCTCTTCTTTGATCCATTTCCATGTCCGCTTAATTTCCTTTATTTGGCTTCTTTTTAGCTTCTCTTTCTGTCATAGAAGTTCAGATTTGGTGCCGTGCCGGAGCAAGAATCATACCAGAGTTGTTTTTTAGCTGAAATAAAAATAAATAATTTAATTTTCTTCCCGCTTTTTATCAGCTTTTGCCTTAACTACACTCTTTAAATGATATTTGAAAATATTTGGCCTGAAAATAACAAGTTTACAGCTGCAGAGAACCATAAATGTACGATAAAAGAGCAGATACACAAATTCTGGAAAGTCGTCTCAAAGTCTCATCCTTTATATCAAATAAATAATTAAAATAGGCGGCAATGTGATTCTGAAGAAGTTGTGCAATTCAAATGTAACAAAGTTTCAATTCGTGTTTTACCATGTAGATAAATAAAACTGTAGATGTATAAAAAAGAAAAAAGAAAGCATAAAATTCCACCAAGGAATTGAGTCTTTCTAATCCCTATATATTGACAATATCCAACCATCCATTTTTTGTTTGAGACAAAGGCTCAATTCCTTTCAACATTAAGCCTAAAATCACATATTTCGACTGAAAAAAATGAAATCGTAAATACAGTTGTACTAGATGTAATACATTATCTCACTTCTCAGTGCCACCCATAGTACTTTATAATCTATTTACTATTTATAACCTATTAACTTTCCTTGATACTGTATAATATAGGCTGTATAATATTTTGGTTTGTTATGTATGGGAGACAGTGTTTGTATTTAAACCTTGTTTATGTTTAATGTTTGAACTGGTTTGGTTAGATAAATCATGTTAATGTACTGCAGTTAGCTTCTACCATTATCCCAGCTGGGTTCCTATTTATTATCATCTTCAACTTAAACACAAACAAATACATAAAGAAATAATAAATATCAAGATAAATACATAAAAAAGAGAGAGAGATAAAAGATGGTATTTGTTCTATTAAATTAACTCAAAATTCAACCCAAGAATTAGTTTACAACTTTATTGTTAATTGAGAGGATACAACGCATTCAAATTTTTTTGATAAAAGCCGTTGATATTTCGTATTTAAAATATAACTCATGATTTTGGAGATATAATTTAAAATATTTAAAGGGACAGACCGGCTATGTAAGGTAGTTAAACTGAGTATGCAGTGTTATGGTCAAATTCTTTAGGATTTATTTGAGTTATATAAAACTTTTTAAAGATCTGTAAATCCTGAGTTTCAGCGCATCCCACCCCTTTATTAGTTTATTTTTAATGGACATATTTTATAACGAAGTGAGTTTTTTTTTTAAAATGTTTTTGGAAGTTGTACTCCTCTTGTTTAGTTTTATTTCTGATTATTATCAGATTACATTATGTACATGTGTACAACATGTTTTTGTTAATTTATTAATTTATTTAATTATTGAATTGTTTGGGTTGATGTCTAGCAGTTTTTGATATTGCAGAGGTTTTAGTCACTTTCATCAGATGAAACACGTGGATAAATTATTTCTAGAGGCTCCTTAAGGAACCACGCTTATAGGGTTCTCTTCCAGGCACCTCGCTTATAGGGGTTCTCTTCCAGGAACCTCGCTTATAGGGGTTCTCTTCCATGAACCTCGCTTATAGGGGTTCTCTTCCAGGAACCTCCCTTATAGGGGTACTCTTCCAGGAACCTCGCTTATAAGGGTTCTCTTCCAGGAACCTCCCTTACAGGGATTCTCTTCCAGGAACCTCCCTTATAGGGGTTCTCTTCCAGGAACCTCCCTTATAGGGGTTCTCTTCCAGGAACCTCCATTATAGGGGTTCTCTTCCAGGAACCTCCCTTAAAGGGATTCTCTTCCAGGAACCTTGCTTATAGGGTTTCTCTTCCAGGAACCTCCCTTATAGGGGTTCTCTTCCAGGAACCTCCCTTACAGGGATTCTCTTCCAGGAAGGTTTTGAAGTTTGAATATATCTTTTTTTGGTTTCGTTTGTTTGATATTCTTTGACATTCATAGATTTAATTTAAATTTTTAATGATTTTAATACATTCTGTTTTAAACTTTTTCTTTTCACTTTTGTTATTTTTATAGTCATAATGTTCTTACTTTACCAATTTTTATCGGTGAACGGGCAACTGTGCCTTATTTAATGAAAAATCTTGGGTTTTCTTGACCTAACCTGATTTTAAAAAGCGTGGATTTTTTTAAACTATTATATTCTCATCCGAAAAAAAATGTTTTCTCAAATATGATCCAGACCTGATTCATCCCGAGAGCTTATTTGGTGCATTAAATATTAAAGACTTTTTTGCAAAAGTTCAGTTTCTCCCAGTTTCCGGAAATGTAGAATCGATCTTTTCCAGCAATGTCTGACGGTTTGAAAGGAGTTCATGGGGAGGGGGAGTACCGAGTAAGGTGAAAGGCAATTGGAATAGATGATAAAAAGGGTACATAGAAAGAACAGCTGGTTACTAGCAAGTTCTTGTTTGTTTTGTACTAAACAGATTTCTGGAAATAATCTTAGCTTTTTGTTGCTGATATTTCAAAATGCCTTTTATATACTTTTAAATAATAAAATAAAATTACGTCGATTTTCTTGTTTTTATTGACGGATTTCTAAGATCGAAAATTAGCATAAAGCAAAAGTTTTCAATTTTAACTTAAAACTTCCCTTGGGTCATGTGAGTTACCACACCAAAGGTTGGGCCTCATTGGTTTAATCGTTTAGACGTTTTTTTTTATATAAAAACATTCATACCATTACCTACAGACCCTAAACTAATATTTGTGATTAATTTTATATTTTGCGAACAATCTCTTTAAACACTAAATAGTAAATGTTTAAATATGTTAGCTTAATGCATAGAAATGTCATATTAAAACTTTAATTTGTTAAATGGTTGATGTTTAGTGCAATTTAACTTTGAAAAATGTTTTGAAATTAAATTATAAAATTTCTCCTTGAAGCTGTAGGTTATAAAATATAGAAACCTGAAAGATCTTGTGTTAAGTGCATTTTCTAAATTAACTTTCTTGAAATTTATTGCTAAAAATAATAGCAATTTATCGGGAGGATTCACCTCTACATCTAGTAAAAGCAATAAGTTTTGACAGCTAGTGATATCAAATGAAATAAATTGATGCATTCGAACAAATGCAGTAAGAAGTGTTCTTTATCATTGTAGAACACTTTGTGATAAAATAAATCATAAATTTTCCCAGGTTTGAAAGAAGATTTGAAATCTCTCTTGAAGTTTTGAATATTTTATGATTTCCCCATATCTTCCTGTTTTATTCTAGCATAAAACAGGGACGGATGTTTTCTTATTTTCTTAACACTTGAGCTGGTTCAGGGGGAAGAAAGGAGGAGGGGGGGTAGGTAGGGGAATACAGAATTTAGAGAACATTGGAATTTTTAATGCATGCTTGATACTTTGAATAACAAACACAATCATATGATATTTAGTATCGTAACAAAAAAATTCTTGACCAATGTTTCTCCGTTTTGGTTAACTTAACCCTTCCCCTGGATCAGTGAATGATTTCCAGGGGGTTTCGGGAACAAACAAACAGACAAGCCAAATTTATATATAGATAATATAAAGTTCAAACCTAAAATTATGATATTTGATAGACTACCGTTTTTTTCTTTACCACGGGCAGCGGTAGTACATTTGAATTTCCGAGCCGGGTCAACCTTTCCAATCCTAGTTTATACTGTATCTCCCGGACATTGGGTAATTAAAGCAGACACTCTATAGGACTGGCCGGTGCAACAAGGTTGACGCGGTCAGACTTTAGGTTGAATTAACTTTTATTGAAGGGTCAGGAGTGCGTTTTACAGGCGATTTATCTGGTAGCATTTTATGAGTGTAGCAATTGTGTTTAATAATTGAATAAAATACACAAAAAGGGTATACAATTATGTTAATAATTGTAAAAAATATACAAAAAGAGTATACAATTATGTTTAATAATTTTATATAATATACAAAAAGATTATACTATTATGTTTAATAATTGTATAAAATATGCAAAAAGATTATACAATTAAGTATAATAATTGTATAGAATATACAAAAAAGAACTTTAAAAGCATAATTGAACCCTTGAAAAAAAAGTAAACTGGATAAATTGAATTCCTATTTATAACAAAAACAAACATGGCAGGATTAGAATAAAAATGTACACCGCAACGGATTTTGGCGCATTTTCTTTTTCCCAAGTTAAACTGAAGTTTGTTAGGTCTGCAGTAAAGGGATAAATCTAGGTTTCTTGTCAGAGATTTTAACAATTGACAGTTTTATTTAAATCCTTACTAGGACGGATAAATACAGATTTTCTTTTACTAAATAGTAACATTTATTGGAAAATTAAATCACACGTAAAAAAAATGAAAAACTTGAACTAAAATTATTCTCATTTTGTTCAGTCTTTCCATTACTAACATGAAGAACCAAGAGGTCCTGTTCAGGGCGGAGTCACGATACTAGAGTTATCGATTGGGAGGAAGCAACCCAATCTAATAAGCATGAATTTAAGAAAAATACAAACATGTCATTTGATGAAAATAGGAACTTTTATAGAAATTGGCTATTTAATAAATAAAATAATGCAAAAAATAGGAAAAAATCTTCATTGCTATGCAAATTTTAAATCAGGGAAGTTTTGGGAATCATCGAGTTTCAAAAATATTTTTAAATTGCAGATCTGAATTGAATTCTCCTTGTTGACAGTACGGTACAGTCCACCATAAGCTAAATCTTGTCAAAGCCCAGCCAATTAGAGCTTGACATTCATGCATGTACGGCGTCGGAAGGCTCTGCCTTCTTTGGTAAAACAGGATGGAAATAGCTATAAGTTAAATTTAAGTGAGGTGCACCCGGTCTCTTTAGTTGGTGCCCGATTTTCCAAAGTGTGTAGACGAATAGAGGGTCAATCAAGAATATGATTCTCATATCCACCACTACAAAAAGATTAATTTTACGAATTCGCAAAAAATGAAGATTAAAATTCCTTTTTATTTATGTTGATTTGTTAAACTCAAATTATAGCTTTAAACTTATCCCCTTTGTTGGACGGGGGGNAAATCTTCTAAATATTATATTTTTGCTTGAGTTTATATTCCCCTGATGATTATTAGCA